ATAAGAGAGCAATATTAATGTCAACCATCCCGTTGACTTATATTGAGTCTAATTGTGCAAGTTCTTAGAGTGACTAGCAGTTGCAACATAAGTCTCCAAAGGTAAAATTCTACTTGATAAGAAGTAATAATAATAATAATAATAATAATAATAATAATAATAATAAATGTGATTGTGCAAACAAATTTGTTACTAAATGTGCACCATTTTGGGGAAAAGAATGGTATATGACATAAAACAGCACAGGAAGTCTCCATTATACAAGCAATCTTGATACAAACCTTGAACTATCAAAATGGTGCTACATCTTTGCCATTCTTTGGATAAAAGATAGGTGTCTTTTTGTCTTTTTTCATTCCTTGATGACTATTTTTGAGGTTTATGCCTCATATTTTGGTCAATATTTCTTTTTTCTTTTTTTTTTTTCCTTGCAGTTCTGATATTTGGATATTTGGACTATGTATGATCTATTGCTGACTGTATAATGACAGTCAAGTTTACCAACAGAGTCACTCCATTATCTAAGTCAAAGCACTATAAAGTGCTTTGAGATACCTTGAATATGAAAGGTTATATATCTGAATAAATTCTGCTTTATTCTCTATGGTGTCAGAGCTGTGACCATACATATTCAGTGTTTTGTATGATGGGATGAAAATGGGGGGGGAAAAAAGATAAAAACTGTTCTTAGTTATATTATACTTGCCTTTCTTTATTACGTGACTATTTTCTGATGTTTGACATTCACTCTTGAAATTGTTTCGGTAGAGTCGTACCTCTGTAATGAAGCATGGCAAAGAACTTCTTTATGTGACAAGTCTTAAAGGACTGCTGTCAAAATAGCAGTTTCTTTTTTATCAAGCTAAAGCTAAAATTCATATTTGAAGCTTTGTTTCCATACCTGATGTATTTATTGGACCATCATAACTCTTCAAAGGTGCTGCTGGGAAATTCATTTTTACTATTGCTGCATACTGCTAAGGTCTGGAAGAAAGTCTTCCTGGTCAAAGAACAGATGTCTCATTCAAAACAATTTTAAGTTTAAACTTCACACTGTTGTCTCAGTGCTTTTAATCTTGCTGTTCACCTTTTTGTGGTATATCATAGCGGAGTTATATTAATTTTCCACAAGTCTTAAGCTTGTTACAGGCTTTTTAGAGGTGTTTTGTGGGCAGTGGATTGTACAGACATATGGGACTGATGTTCTGATTAACGTCTTTTGATTGCATATGCATATGAGAAAAACACTTGACCTCTCAAACTCCATAGAAGAACACACAACTATAAAGGAGATAATGGTATTGCATGCAATTTGATTTCTGAGAAAAATATGAAATGTTTTGATAAATTCAAATTAAGAGTGGCTAAAATCAACTACAAAGCTATTTCAGTAATTCGAAATATGATTAATTGAACTTTAGTAAATAACATGACCCTCCTGAGGATGAAACTAGGTTGGAAAACTTTCAGATCTGACATAACATTTTGTCAATAACGTTTCTGGCAAGACTGGAATAAAGATATGCAGAATGCACCAAAGTTCATAAATGTGAAGAAAAGTAACTACTTCTAATAAGCTGCTTTGTGTGAAATAGAGTTAAACGTGGTATTAAGCTGAAAAGTCAGAACATGAGCTGGAGGACCATGACGGTGGGAATGACAAACTCCCAACCAATCCTGAACGTATGCAGGATTTGCTGCTCTGCTGGATGCATACAAGCCCATGGGTCCGGATGGGATTCATCCCAGGGTGCTTAAAGATCTGGCTGATGTCATCATGGGACCTCTCTCAATTATTTTTCAATGATCTTGGGAATCTGGAGAGGTCCCAGGAAATGGAAGCTGGCAAATGTTGTGCCAGTTTTCAAGAACAGTGAGAAAGAAGACCCTAGCAATTACAGGCCTGTCAGTCTCATGTCAGTGCCTGGTAAAATTATGGAGAAGATGATTCTTGAAGTTATTAAAGTGCACCTGGGGGAAAACGCAGTCATTGGTCCCAGCCAACATGAGTTCAGGAGGAGTAGGTCCTGCCTAAGAAATTTGATTTCCTTTTATGACAAGATCACCCATCTAGTCGATCAAAGGAAACCAGCTGATGTGATCTTTTTGGACTTCAGCAAGGCTTTTGACTTTCCTGTACAATCCTACTGGACAAAACGTCCAGCATACAACTAAACAAAAACATCATACGATGGGTGAGCAATTGGTTGATGGGCAGGGCTCAAAGGGTTGTGGTAAATGGGGCTACATCAGGCTGGCGGATGGTCACTAGTGGGGTCTCTCAAGGCTCCATTTTGGGCCAGTCCTCTTCAATGTTTTTATAAATGATTTGGATATAGGACTAGACTGGATATAGGTGTTCAGAGCAAATTTGCTGACGACACCAAACTTGGAGGAGTTGTGGACTCAGGTGAGAGTGGAAAGGCCTGAGAGACCTGGACAGATTGGAGAGCTGGGCGATCACCAACCACATGAAATTTAACAAGAGCAAGTGCAGGGTCCTCAACCTGGGACAGGGCAACCCTGGCAATATGTACAGACTGGGCAATGAGGCACTGAAGAGCAGCCCCACAGACAGGGATCTGGGGGTTGTGGTTGACAGCAAGTTGAATATGAGCCAGCAGTGTGCTCTGGCAGCCAGGAGGGCCAACCGTGTCCTGGTATGCATCAAGCACAGCATTGCTAGTCGGTCGAGGGAAGTGATAGCGTCCAGAGGAGGGCAACGAAGATGGTGAGGGGCCTAGAGGGGAAGATGTATGAGGAGTGGCTGAGGTCACTGGGCCTGTTCAGCCTGGAGAAGAGGAGGCTGAGGGGGGACCTCATCTCGGTCTAAAACTTCCTCGTGAGGGGAAATGGAGAGGCAGGTAACCTATTCTCTGTAAACACCAGTGATAGGACCTGCAGGAATGGTGTCAAGCTGAGGCAGGGAAGGTTTAGGCTTGACATCAGTAAGAGGTTCTTCACCAAAAGAGTAGCTGCACACTGGAACAGGCTCCCCAGTGAAGTAGTCACTGCACCAAGCCTGTCTGAATTTAAGAAGCAATTGGACTGTGCACTTAGTAGCATGGTCTAAATTTGTGGATACACCTGTGTGGTGCCAAGAGTTGGACTCAATGATCCTTAGGGGTCCCTTCCAACTCAGGATATGCTATGATTCTATGATCTAGTTCCAGTCACTTCAGGTCTGAATCACAAGCTTTTGACAGACTCATTGTGGAGAGAAGAGCCACACACATGTTTTCAACTGTGCATTCGGGAGAGAATTGAGAGTTATATTGCAATTTGACTCGAAGTTTGACTTCATTTTAAAATGCTTAAGATGTTCCCCATATTTCTTTACACATTTCTCTCAGTTCTACTTAAACTGTTTTATTTGTGTCCTGTGACTAGCAAACTTGTACTGATTCTTACGGGTTATCTCATGGATATCGTATCAGGAAAAGGTAGACATCTATCTTGAGCAGCATTAATTGTAAGATGAATGGATGGCTGAACATCTTCAGTATTCTGTTTTTAATGTTGTCATGGGTGTCATCTCTGTTTCCAGCTTTTTGGTTTTATTGCAGTTTCATTTTCTGTAATTTTCTTGAAATGCAGAAGATAGAGTTATGCTGTGACAAATGAGATGGTATGCCTATAGCTCAGACACTAGTTTGTTCAGAGATTGACCATTGAATATAAAGCATGCAAAGCGAAGAACAATTTTGATATGATCCATTGTTGAATATGCAGTGATTCATTTTCATTTTCTAAGTATGCTTTGATGTAGTTCTTCCATTTGTCACATTTTCCATTAATAAACACCCGGAAGGACACAAAAAACATGAGCAGTCATTCCAAAGTACAGTATAGAATAAATTAAATTAGTATATAAGAAATATCTTCTAAACATAACAACACACATACCTGACATCATACTACATAAATTAGCAGCTTCTAAGATGCCTTCTGCAAAATGATACCACGTGGAATGCTTTTCCAAAAGGTGATATTGGGAAATGAATGGGAATTTCATGAGTATTTGGGTAGCTCTCTGTTCAGGTTACTTTACAGATTCAGAATCACAGAATCACAGAATTGTATAGGTTGGAAGAGACCTCCAAGATCACCTAGTCCAACCTCTGACCTAACACTAACCAGTCCTCCACTAAATCATATCACTAAACTCTACATCTAAACATCTTTTAAAGACCTCCAGAGATGGTGACTCAACCACTTCCCTGGGCAGCCCATTGCAACGTCTAACAACATTAGTGGTATCAGTAGTGCTGTCAGTGCATGTGCCTATATTTGTAGGGACTTCATATTTAAACCTGTGCAGGTACTGTTGCACTCAGATCAACAAAGCCTCAGATCAACAAAGTCGGTAAACATATACCTTATATTGCCTCTCTTCAGCAAAGTTATAAATGTGATAAAATTTAATCACATGTTTATATTCCTTACTGAGTGAAGTCCAGCATAGTTTGGGCTGTTAAACAGATATAATATTGTTATATATTCATATATAAGTTCACAGCCAAGTTGATCAAGGAATTCATGGTCTTGAAACACTGTAACATACTGGAATCTGCAGGATTTAAAATAAGTAAATAAAAAAAATGAAGAATCTGTGTGTTTTATACTACCGCAGCAAAGCCTCCTTACTGCTGTGAGGATGGGGGGTTAGGAATGAAGGGATGTGTTGGTTATTCAGGCAGTGATACTGCTGGATTAAAAACAAGCCAGGTTGGTAGAGATCCAGGGTAAGTGTGCTAGCTGAGAAAAAATGAAAAGGTAAGCACATATGGTTGAACAGCTGCTTTCAAATTTATAAAATACCTACTTTAATCCCAGCAGCTTTCTCAGCTTTTCCTCTTAATTCTGTTTCTTTGCAGAAAGCACTTTGAAAATCATTCTTCTTCTTCTTCTTCTTCTTCTTCTTCTTCTTCTTTTTTTTTTTTTAATTGTAATTTTTCCCCAGTATTAAATCACTTCCATTTCAATTTTATAGTTTTGGCTTTCACCAAAATACCTCAAATGCAGAAGTAAATACATCTAGAGGAGTTAGAGTTTCAAATCACAATGTGGAAAGAGGGAAGAGGAGGAAGAATCGTTCTATGTCAGGTCAGATTATTTTTTCTTGTATGGTGGTGTGATTTTTTTCTTACTGCTTTTGCTACATTGTACTTCCAACTGAATTTATATGCATAGTTTTATACATAGTCCAAATCATGGATGTTTTCTTGCCTCAGACTCAGGATAATTGTTTTTAACTCTAACTTTCTCTACTTTGTCTTGAACTCCTAAAACACATCTAAGACATTAATTTATTAAGTTTCATAACGCACCTAAAGGGAGAGAAAATATGCTAATTTTCAGCTGTGAAATGGAGAGATTACTAAAATACTGATAAAAAATAAAAAGTGTAGGACAGAATAGAGATTGAATTTAAGGGAGTGGCTCCTTTACATCATTATTTTAACCTACTGGAACATACTTTAATATATTTCAGTTTTCATAAGAAATGGAACAACCCCTCATACAGTGCATTGGTATATAGGAACTGTCCACAAACAAGAGAAGTTTACAACCTCTTTGTATATCTCTGCAACAGAGTTCTAGTTTACTTTGTTTGTAGCTTTTAGTATTAGAATTTTTATTTTGATTCTCATTAGATGAAGGAATTGTGAATCAAATTAGAAAATTGTTTCTGAGAAAAGGGTTAAGTTTCAGAAACTGAATTTCTTTTAATGATCTCAGTAGCTGATTTTTTTTTTTTTCAGATGACTTTTTAGAGAAAAATATGCTTTTCTAACTCCTTCAATGAAACTGATGACCTCAAGAAAACCATCAGATTTTCCCTTTTCTTTTCAAATTTATTGGGGATGTTCTTGGCTGCTGACTGTTTTCAATATTCTTCTTTTGTTTTTTCTGTCTTTTGAAAAGAAACAAAACCATGAATGCTACCCAGGACTCAAATTTTGTTGTCAAAGCTCTGTGTGTTCAAGCAAAGGTACTTGTTTTGTTATGGGAAGCAGTTAAGTTGCACCATGATAGCATTTCACTTGGTCTTCTGCTGCTTAAAGTTATGGAGCTCATTTGATATTACTCCATGTGTGTTTTCACAGTCCATCGCTATGCCACCTGGACAAGTATTTAGACTCCTGGAACCCAATTTTTTAAAGTTGTTCAGATGTTTGTGGCCAAATTTTTCAAATATTTCCCAAAGATCTTTCTGGTTAAACAGATACGTACGCACTGAGATTCAGATTGATTGTGTTCATATTTAAATAAATCAATCATGGATTGTAACTGACGTAGCAGAGAGAGAAATCCTAGTTACATGGCTTTTGCATTTCTAAATATTTTTAATGCCTTGGCTCTAGAGCCTGGAGCACCTAAAGCACTTGAGGCTGAGAAGTCTGTTATTATTATTCTCAGACTGTAAATACCATAATAATGTTGTGTAAGAAATAATTGTTAAAGCCAAACATTTATAAGCAAAGAAGTACAGATTACTTACAGTTTAGTTTTTCTTTATTTAGTAGTCCACAATGTGTATTTTATTATAGAAAGACTTCAAATCTTAGTTTGACAGCACAAGTATATTTTGTACAGGAAAAAAGTCTGGAGTTATGAGCATGTCTGCATTTGGCAGCTTGGTAGCTCTGTATTTTTCTCTTTTCCTTCCAGCACACAGGAGTTTAATAGCTTGCCTGTAGAACAGAAAGTATAGACCTGGTCTTTAAAGACCTCTGTCCTATTCCAGAGGAGACCTCTATCATTATTCTAGCTCTGCTGACAACACAGAATGCACTGTCACAGTCCTCTAGGTAATACCCTTATTACATGTGTCATTAGAGGATGTTTGCCATATCTGCTTTAACACTGCAGACATTTTAAGTAGGTTATTCCATCACTTTGCCATTTTGATTATGACAACAAAATGACACCATATTGAAATGGATTTTAGAAAGAAAGGCTAACTGTCCAAAGAGGTCCATGCTCACTCTAATTAAAATTGGCTTAGGTGGCACAACCTTCATAATTCAGACTATGACTATGAAGGATATGCATGTTGAAAGCGCTCTTTGCTCATTAGTGCTATTTCTGTCAGACACTGCTACCTGCTCTTTTCTTAATGAATGCTAAGCCATCTCTTTAGAAGATTGTGCTGCTTCCCTGAACTGAGGGAACTGTCTTATTTCCTCCCAAGTTCGTTGAGAGTAAAATCGGGGAGTCACCTCTTTGACATTTCCCAACCTCTGTACTTATTTATCTCTTTGAGACCCTGTGCTCCAGAGATATCACTGTCTTAATTAAGAAGAAGGATGTGACCATGGTAAATTGACTGATTCCATTGATTAAGGACTAGCTGTACAAGTAACATTGATTTTAACAGTGGGTCTACATAAATGTAATTGTTCGAACATGGGGATGCATAATTATGGTGATGTACGAGAATAGTTGGTTTGTCCTTTTCAACCTTCACTAACATTCTTTTGCATGGTAATGTACCTCGTTCAATTAGCAGAAATCTTAAATGTTACAAAATGTCTTTTGTGAAGGCACACGGTAATCATCACAGTCTAATTTAATTTAACAGCATCAGACAGATACATCTCTTTCTTTTCCTTTCCTTCTTTCTAGATTTTTCCAGCCCCTCCCCCCCACATTTATTTTTTTTTTTAGTGGATAGGATCACTAACACACACGAGTAAAAAAAAAAAAAAAAAGGAAAAAGAGACTTCCTCACTCTATCCAATTTGTAAAGTGTATAATTTTAAGCCAGAACTTGCATGGCTAATTCATGATTATGGACAACTTGTTTTCTTTTTTACCCCACTTCAGATGCCTCCAGGGCATACTGGACACATTCTGCATCTACTCTGCAATTTCTTCCACCCTACCTTTGGTGTCAGCATTCCATTTTCACCAAATGTTATAATTCTCATGTTTCTTCTTCAGATTTAAACTTCCAACTGTCTCTCTTCTCCATACTCCTCTAAAAACAACCTACGCTTGACTGAACATCTCTGGAATTCCTTTTTCATAAGGCATTAGTGGACACATCACAGTTCATGGGAGACAGTAAGCTGAATTTGGAGAGCCAGAAATCTAAGGTAAGAAGTGGCAGAAAGCAGCAAAAGAGCTGAAGTTTTAATTGCTACAATAAATATATGGACCACTTTTAGAGCATAAAACTTTTGCTACCAGCTCGTTATTATTTTTTATGGTATATTCTCCAGACACAGCAGAGCTCTGTGGGGCATTAGACTGTTAAGTCTTTTGGGTAAGAACTGTCTCTTGGCACTGTGTTTATATGACTGGTGAGTAATTCGTGGGAAGAAGTAATAACTTAGTTTTGTAGTGTTGTTTATTTGCTCAAAAACATGATTTTATAGCACCAAAAGTTACTTGGAAATCTGAATCAAAGAGCTGAAGCACTGGCTTCCTTTCTCCTTCTGCGTTTTTATGTTTATTTTCACCAAGCACAAAAATGGACATTTCAGCATTCCCCAAATGACTTGAACTTACAGTTTTGATACCACTCATAAATGGAATATACAGGAAGCTTGTCACCCTGGTTCAATAAATAATATACCGTGATATATGATATTCATGTGGATTGAGGGACTCTGTTTTGCCAGTTTTGGATAAAGGTCTTGAACATCAATATCCTAACCCCCAGATAAATGCATGAGTTCTTATGAGGAAACTATTAGGTGGGAGAGAGTGGCTGCATGGTGTTTAGGGATATCAGGCTGTATCGAATTAACATTTCCATTTTGGATGCAGATTCAGTGGGAAGTGTAGTGTACCCCAGAACATAAGTCCAAGTTTGCAGCGAGATTCTGATTCAAGCAGAGAGGGGAGGGGAGCCCTGAAGCAGCTCTTTGTGAGCCAAGACCTTTAACAGCTGAGGTGTGGTAAATGGGTGTTGCATTCTTCCTTCTGCTTTTTTGCACACACCAAATGCTGGAAGATTCTCCTTTTCATTACCCCATAGCCCAGGAAGGCAAGCAGCCCTCCAAATTGTGGACATGAAAAGGGGACCTGTCCCAAAGTTAAGGATGTTTTCAGCCCCTCAAGTAAATGTTTGTGTTGACTTATTTATTTTCCAGTTTATCATTGCATAAGTCTAGTCTCACGAAGTTCTGGGCACTTAATATAATTTTTCTGGTCATTGTATGGCAGGAACCCTTGAAAAGTTTCAATTGCCTTTTTTTATCCTACTACCAAATGCATCAATATTCATACCCTATAGCTGCAGTGGGAAGCACTTTGGATAATCAGTGTCCTCCACACTATGAAAAATAGGCAAAAACTGTCCTTACTGTATGTGTGCATGAGTACATGATATATCTAAATGAGAATTAAAGCCCTCCAGCAATCAAGTATGCACACAAGTTAGGAGAAGTGACACCAATACACACATACCAGCACATATACATGCATACGCACAAGAAAATCATATCCTGGATTTAAAAGGCTTCGAGATTAAAGGCCCAAGGGCTTAAAACTTAAAGAAATATTCCTTCAACATCATTGCATATTCATGAGTGAGTATTTTGGCAAGCAGGCTGAGCAAAATAGCTTACAGAATTATGGAAGGAAGATTACTGTTGATTCCTGTGTGCCACAATAGTGCTTTCACAGAGAGAAAAGAAAATGTAAATAATTATCCAAGTGACAGCATTGATATGGGTAATTCTGAGGGCCCTACCCAACCCAGATCCTGTTACATATTTTTGATCCATGTAAGTTGCAAAGCATGGAATAAAGGTACTCAGATGGTCAGCCACCTCCAGAGACAGGTTAAAAGGTAAGAAAGAAAACCTGCCCAGCACAACATGAGGTTGCAAAGGCAGCTTTCCCACAGCTTTTCCTCTGTTGCTTTTTGTTTGGGACAGACCTAGAACTCCTACCAGACGTCAGCGGTTTGTACCAGATTCTCCTATTTTCCACCAAATTTACTTTCAGTTACCATGCAAGAAGAGTTGCCAGAGGACGATTGTATTCTCCAGGGTTGCTCATCTGGATTTCTCTTTCTTCCAGTGTTTTTGTTTGTTCTCATCATCATTTTTGCCAGGGCTTTATCAATCTTTCAGGGTAGAAAAATGTTTTCCATGTATCATTTTGGCAGGTAGAGTGAATAGATGTGATAGTGGTGCTTTATAAAATCCCTGATTAGCAAAAAGGTTCAAGAAATATTGGTGATAAAACTGAGCACTAGTAATGAGACAGAAGCATATTCTAACAATAGTAGATAAATAATATAATTACTATAGCAAAAAAGGAAGAAATAAACTAATTGAAGAAGTGCAAAAATAGGCAATTTGTCATGTGCACTTTCACTCAAATTGACTTAAATTTAAACTAAAAATGGTGTAAGCAAAGGATAATATCGTTAAAGAAGCATGGTTTGCATGTATTTCCTCATACCAGACAGACAACTTGAGGACAAAATTACTGCTATCATTGTAAGCAAAAAGGGTTCCTAGCTATATAAAACAGATAAAAGAACACAAATAAATAAAAGGATTGCTACATCCAGTACACCAGACATATCAATGTTTAGATATCTCAGTCAAAAAATGTGCCTTGATCTCTAACATGAGATCAATCTTTTTGCAGTATCGAAAAGGCTGTATTTTCATCTATAGGCAAATACCTAGCTGTCATGTAAGTGGAAGTTCAATGATGGTCCAGATAATTCTGGTTTAAGCCATATAGAAATGTGTAGGTATAAGAAAGGTGGTACAAACTTCATTCAGAAAGCTTACTTCCCAGTTTAAATAACACAGATTTCACAAAATACATCCATGCTTTTTTTTCACAAGTCAAGTTGAAAAGGTGTATATTTTACAAAAATATTTTTTGTCTGAGCATAGCCAAGGCTTCTTGACGTCTCCTGAAATGATGTTCCTTGTACATTATTACTTAGATGGAACAGCCTGGGTTTGCAGTTTCATGCTGCTCATGCTGCCCTTTCTCTCTCTCCCTTCTACTTTATTATATTTATTTATTTATTTTTAAAACACTTACCATCATACCTGTTTATGTCATATTCCTTTCCTTTGGAAAAAGAGTTACCATCCTCTCTCCCTGGTTCAGTTAGGGTCTTAACCCTAACCCCAGCCCTGAAGATCCTCTTTAAGGAGACAAGGTGTGTCAGCAGGGCAGTATTCCAGAACACCAAAACCATATTGCTTGATTTTCATGAACGTATCTGTGACAAATTCTGTTGCCTTATGATCTTTGGACTCAGTGGTGTAACAGAGTAACACTTAGCTTGTGCTAAGCAGTGAAAAGGGCACTGGGACATCCTTACAGCAGCAGCAGACTTCAGCAGAGGAAAGGTAGAAGAATAAATTACAACCTAATTTTTTGTATATTCATTGGTAGTTCCAGGGCCCAGTTTCCTGCACTCTGGCATTATCAGTGGAGCCAGAAGTACCTTGGGAAACCCTGAGCAGAAGGAGGAGGAGATGTGCAGCCTTTGCACAACCTTGCTCTAAAATGTTGCCTGGCCTGAGCAACCTTTGCCTTTGAAAAACAGGAGTTATGTCGCACTCCCACTTATATAGTTGGTTAAAGACACAACAGCAATGAGTTTCCCACCATGACCTCCGTATTTGAAGAATCAGCACAAATTGAATTTCTACTGACAACCTGCAATTACTTGAGCAGAAAGCAAAGCATAGCCTAAACCTTCAGGATAGCATTGTTAAAGGTATTCAGATCTTACATAAGGCCATTTCACACAGACCACAGTACTAACATCTGAACAAGTGGAAATGCGGTTGTGGTGTATATGTGGTGACAATTCATAATACTTCCACCCCAGAGGGTATTTATGGATCCACAGTATACTATACCAGCATCGTTTTAATTATTTTACTATCCCTGCTTTGAATTTGAAAAGTACCATAACTATAAAACTTATGCGGTTGAAATATATGTATAGTGTACTAGTCTCACCTAATTGAACTTTTTTGATTTTTTAATGGCATCTTTTTTGTAAGATTATCCTATTGTCTTGAGGTTTTACAAGGATGACTAGTATTCATCAGTACTTGTCATCTGTATCTGACTGACACTAAGCAGGAACTGTGATTTTTCTGTATAAAGCTGTAATATTGAGTTCATAATAAAAATTTCTTACACTTACCATTAGATGCTACAACTTGGCTGCTCTGCCATTTGTTTCATTAAAGTTTGTTTGTTTGTTTGTTTAATATTTATTTGTTCTTGTTTTTTGGTGTTTGTTTGTTTTGTTTTGGGGTTTGTTTTTTGAAAATGTTCCTGATTATTCTTAAAGCAAGGAATATTTTGATGACAGGTCATAGGTAGATGGACAGCTGTTTGGAGTACTGGTATTCCAAAATGCTGATGCCACTTTCTGATAGCCTTCCAACTTTTCTTGCAGAAGTTTAATTCAGAAACATCTTTGTACAAAAACTTCAAATAATATTTATTTTTTCAGTAAGAAATACTACATAGAGAGAAATCAATATTGTTTGGACATTTTTGAATGTAATAGATGTGAAAATGTTAATTTTTGTGGGCCAATTGTACGTCTGTGAACATACAAAACTATAGAAGGCTTTTAGTAGAAGGCAACAGTAACATGAAAAAACGTGCTGAGTTTCAAGGATGCGAATGAAATAAGACTATAATCTATAATCTACATTGTTTTAATTAGTATTATTTCTAGTTGACTAACACAAAATAAATTTGCAAGTTTGTAGTACATGGCTTGACAAAAGAAACCTACAAAGATGTGTGATTTTAGTTTGATAAAGTACTTTGTATAAGGAAAGAAAGGCTTTCCTTGTTTCATTACTTGGAAACATTTTGAATAATGATTAATTTGCACTCTCATAGTACTTAAAATGCCTTTACTATATTATTATAACTATTATAACTTTTTTTTTTTTTTTTTTTTTTTTTTTTTTTTTTTTTTTTGTTAAATTACAGCCACTAGGCTAGTATTTTTAAAGATGCACTGGCTGATTCTCTTGTTACTGGAGCGAGTATCTCAAACGTGCCCAGTTAGTCAAATACTCCCTAGGTGCAAAGCAGAGATTGAGGGAATTTTTCCTATTCTTGGGCCAATCCAACTCCAAGAAATCTGTAAGCAGTGAAACAGTTCTAAAATCTCCTGTGTGATTTTGTGAGTTCTGAGTACATTTCACTGAACTCGTAACTAACTAACTAACTAACTAACTAACTAACTAACTAAAACATGTTTCTACACTGATAACTGTACATCTCACTCATTTCATAATTTCCTTTTACTCAAATGCCATAAACTTTCTGAATATTACTAATTCTACAACACAAATAGGCTTGAATCAAAAAAAAAAAAAAAAAAATCCATAATTTTCCATAATTTTCACTTTGGTTATTTGGTTCTCTAAACGGCATGGTTTGAGGAAATTAGCTAAGCCAGACTTGTCTTCACAAAGAAGTTAAACCAATTTAATTTGAATCGTTTTATAAATCGATTTTGTTAAACCGATCTGAACACTTGTTTGGACACTCCTAAATTGATTTTGCCCAGGCTTATATTGATTTAGCCTAAGTTAGGAAGGAATTCACTTAAGATAAATTGATGCAAGTCTGATTGAAATAAAATTAGTAGTGCCAACATAGGGTTTGCATGGGTTTGCTAAATTGATTTAAATATACACTTTTAATTAAAGTGATGCAACTTTGTATAGGCCAGGCTTAACATTAAGGAGAGGAATCTTTGGCTCCCAGAAATGACAAGATCTGAAAGGGCCTTGAGTCCAATGACTTGTTCAAAGTATGAAGAGTTTTCTGCATTGACACTTGAAACAGCTTACAGTAATGCATAGAATAATTACAACTGCATATCTCCTCTCCCCATCCAGAATACATCTACCTGTTCTTGCTCCTACATTTTTTTGTTGGTGGTGGTTTTTCCTCCAATCATCATTTTTGTTTCCTTGAAAATTAAAGACAAGTGTAGAAAAAAATAAAATGATTTCTGAACTTAAAGGCTGTTTGAAAACAAAATATAGATTTTAGATTTACAGCACTCCATTGCCTTTAAACAAACACATCTCTAGGACAACCTCCTTCACAATAAACAGGTAAGTGCAACATGCATATTGGGCACTAATTTGTAGTGGAGGCATAACAGGACCCATTCTGGCTTTTTAGCTAATGCAGTACCACTGTGGAGGAGCTGTAAGATTTCATCTTACTGCTAATTCTTGAATTTGCTTGTGAGCTTCAATACCAATTTTCCTCAAATCTATCTGTCCAGCAAAGAGAATATAGACACTACTGTCCTTGCCGAGTAACCCCAAATAACAGTTTTGAAACCAAGCTGTAACCTTCATGATGCTGTCTGGAATTGGGAATCAAAATCAGAGATTACGCTGAAACCTCTCTCTCAACATATGCCTTGTTTACTGAACTTTCACCATATGCAAAATACAGTTTAAAGGAATCTGCATTACAGATTGTCACATAGAAGTCACCACCACACCCCACTCCCTGATCTCCTAGGAAGAGAAAATAACAAAATTAGGTGTTTTCAGAGACAAGGCAATTCACAGAGCTGTAATCATAGCTGGTGTTGGATAGGGCATCCATGCTTGAGAGCTGCTTTATTTCACATACACTCATTGGCATTTGCAGTTGGCTGCTTCTGTGGTATTCCTACATCTTCCCTCTGATGACTGTAAAGAGAACATGGTGCTTTGGATTCCTGATGTTCAGCTACTTATAAGTAAGGAAATTTATTTATTATTTATTTTTTATATTTGGCAAAGTGACTTTGGTATTGTTGAATCAACCGACTGCATTTGCTGTGAAAGAGTTGCCATCTATCTGCTATCATGTAAGTCAGAAACTGAATCAGCACCTCAAAATACTATACTTTTATTGTCTATCTGATGCAGGTGGAAGGTGGTGTGGTGGTGGTGTTCATACTCTTACTGTACTGCACAGTACAGAGGGGTATGTTGGACCAGACCTTTGAGCAAATTATCTTCTGATTTTAATTAACCACTGATTACACTAGTTTATGCTTGCTGAGTACCAGGAACTTTTATTTCTTCTTTGGCTAGCAGAGTCCATTTTCTACCATTCTACATCCACAACTTTACTAAGAACAAAGAGAGAAAAATTGGCCCCTAAGAACAAAGAGAGAAAAATTGGCCCCAACGTAGTCAAAAACTGAGCTTTCAGAACCTTAAATAACAGGAAGTCTTCAGCCCAAGTGTTATGAATTGTTATATTTTCTATCTGAATCCTGTACTTGAGGCGAAGACAAAATGAGATGTCATTGAAGCTTCTATTTCCCAAATACATGGTGTGGAGTTAAACTTTATACACATAAAAAAAAAGATGATCCTGTATCCATCACATAATTTTTAGTCATTCTGTTCTCAGCTATGGATACTCTATAGAGCCTGTAAATTAAATGCAGTAAGTACGGGCCACTATGAATATAAGGCTAAAGTAAACAGAAGTATAGTTGCTTATGAAGGCAGGGTCACCAAACAATTAATAATAATAATAATAATAACAACAACAACAGCAACAACAATACTACTACTAATAATAACTTTTCATTTTGTGGCTACCCCAAATTAATTCATTTTAAAATAAAGTTCAGAATCCTAATAATAAGGAATTTAAGGATAACTATATGAAGAATATAATCGTGCCTATAAAATTCAAATATATTTTTAATGGATATCAGTAACTTCAAACTACTCAACTTCTTTGAGTATGGAATGAAAATGGACTGAAGTTTGTGTTCTCTTCCCAGTCACAAAATAATAAGACAAGGAGAGATAGCTTTTTCCTAAAAATTGTACTAAACTTTGCTGAAAACTGAGCTGGTTATTTGTGTCTATTCAGTCCCTTTTTTTTTCTGCATCTCTCAACAGCAGGAAAATAAACAACAGGAAAAAAAATGTTTCTTAAACCTGTCCACTTTTTGTTATTATATTATTTATTTATTTATTTATTTTTCCATTTGGGATTATCTCAACTAGTCTACATCTTTGTTAAAGTATGGTAGCCAGCTGGCAATATTATTGCACTTGAAGTCTCAGACACTTTGAAGAGTGCTATAATGGTTTTCTGCCTGTTACACAAAGTATTCCTGCTAACATCTCCAAGAATGAAAATTTAGCCTTCTGTTGTTGCAAGCATGCTGCAAGGAGATGACATAATTGTTGGTAATACATTTCTACATTATTGATGCTTTATGAGTCATCTCTCATTTTGTATTTACTTCCTTTCTCCTTCCTAAGGGAAATTGTTTTTACTTACCCATATTTAATTTCAACTTGCTGTTTTTGTGAATGTTAGAGAGATCCATAGAAAGGTTAAGATTTGATGGGTGATTAAGGATAAACTGCTTTATTGTCAAACTAAGTTTGAGGCATATTAGTACAATGGAATAGAAAATTTGCAAAATATTTATCCATGCCACACCGAAATTTTTTCAAATATCATATTTTGATATACACCATTGTATGGTTTAACAGTGAGAAAGCCTCAACTGCCTTCTTAAAGCCCAATATGTTTATTGAATTAAAAAAAAAAAAAAAAAAAAAGTGTAGTGTATGAAAAGTATTAAGAAAGAAAGATACAGTTACTAGAAAAGTCAGGGTCTTAGTTTCCACTGCCTGAAGGGTGCCCACATGGCTCTAATGACCTCCTGAACTTCATTAGTTAACAGTAGTGGAATTTTTCCCCTCCTGCTTACCTTTTATTGTTGTTGTTGTTGTTTACAGGCATTCGTGCCTTCAGTGACTACTATATTATGCTTAAGTTACTCTCATGGTAAATCCAAGGATTTTAATTTCCTCTTTCTTGACTTCAGGGTCTTTTTGAATAGGTTCATCACTTTTTGAAATGTCATTTTTTGAAAGTTTAGCTTCAGTAATTTGTAATGTGATTCTTCCCTAACTGTGTTGCACTTTTTTATATTCTTGTTTCTAATGTCCAGGGATCGTCCAGAGATGATACGTCTAGACTGTTTCTGTCTTACATGGGGTAAGTCATGAATAGCGTTGCCATTTTTTATACTGCAGAAATAGTTTAAGATTAGAAATGTTGATTTAAATTATATGATTTAAAAATATTTAAAAATATTTAAACTTAGTCCCAGGATTGTATTTCATCTGTCTTTTGGTTTCATCTATTCATCTAAACTACATTAATTTCTTCCTGCATTTTGTTTAACATTTTTATTTCTTGTGAGTGGTTAGAAATACTGTCTGATACATGTAAATGGGAGGAACTTTGTCTTTGCATTAGTCCAACACCACTGAAGTCACTGTGAAAGATACTGTGGGTGAAAGTCATTCGTGATTTGTGTCTATCTAGATTCTCCTTGCTATACCACTATAACTAAAATAATGCCTATATGTTACAGAAAACCAAAGATTCTACAGTTATACTTGTCCTTGCTTTGATTATAAATTATTATGTTTTGCGTGATAATAGCTACTAAAGACATGAGGGGAGATCACTGGTCTCCTGTGCACATATAACTCATATACAAATGTAGCTATTGAAAAAAATAAAAATAAAAAAGAGGTAATCAGCAACAATGCAACAACTAAATAAAATAAATAAATAAACAAACATCCACCAAAACAAACAAATAAACAAAGAAGAAATCATATCTGAACTTTCAATATAACTGTAACGGCTACAGTAGCATTTAGGTTTGGCTTAAAGAGGGATGATATTTAAGAGACAGCCCATTCAGAGAAAGGCGGATTCGATGAAGATGGAGACAGGTTCTTTTCAGTGCTCACTAGTGACAGGACAAGTGGTGCATTAAAAATGACCATCTCTTCATCCAGCTCTGTGAATTTATCTCTGTGATTATATTAAACAAAATGCAGTAAGGAGGTATGGAGGGGCTACCTGGAGAGTGGTAGGGATGCAAAAAAGGTCATAATGAGTGAAAAGCTAATTTTTAATGACAAACACAAATACATAACAACAAAATCTCTGTACTGAATATCACACAAATATACCTGCCAAGGGAGCTCACCTTTCCTTAAATAATGCAGTACACTCTCCTGCAAGAAACCAATGGATCCTTTTTTAAGTTTTCAGATATTACATTGCAGTTACAAGACTGTGGACTAGATCCTTACTATATTCCAACCACTCTTAATTTGAAGAAACTGAGATCAAAAGCTACCTGAAAGCAGCAGAAGGGAGACAAACCTTGTGCTTTGTATCAAAAAGCTTCAGCGTTTAACGTAACTGTAAAATTTGAGCTGAACTACTTTAAGCTGTTCTTTTATGATTTGTTTTTTTTTTCTAATAGTTCAGACAGTGATCTTTGGTCATCACTTGCTTTGTGTGGAGGAGTGTGACAAAAAGGTAGGAATCAAGGTAAAAAGCATTATTATCTAAGACTTTTCTTATTTTGCTGTTAAAAAATCCATGCAGAATAAGTTTAAGAGCAGCAGATACCTAAGAAGCTGTCAAATAGCACTGTTAACTATAATAATTTATCCTATAATTTAATGTAGCCATGACCCCTGTCATAAGTTAATACACCATGAAGAGTAGTGTGCAAAAAACATGCTTATTAATGAATCGGAGAAATAATGTGACATTGTTTTTTGCCATTTTCCCAGGAAATATCTTAATATTGGAGTTAGCAGAGCCTAGACAATTTTTACTATGTAATTATGCCTGTCCATTTCTTACCAACTTGTGCTGTGATTAAAAGGTTTGTATTTTTTAATTATATCATCTGAAGAGAGTTGTTTGATTCAAGACAAAAACAACAGTATGTATGGACTCTACAGATAAACTCTTCTATTTTGCCTATTTTTGCCAACAGCCTCTCTATTTGAATCTCTTTATAAATAACTGGTAACTGTGTGTATATGCTGGTAGCTCTATGTAATATATGCAGCTCCTCAGAGACCATGCACTGGTCCAATTACTGTCTTATTAGTGACTGCCTGTTCTGGTAAAAGAATGGCACAAGGCCCTGAATACATTGGAGCTGTGATTCTGGAGTGTCTCTGCAGTCAGAGTGTGTACGTGAGGCTGAATGTCTGATGAGAAGGGCTGTATGTTGGTGCTGTGATTGTGTTCCACATAAAACCATTTTCTGTCCATGATCTTCTGTCATTATTGCTTTGGTCCAGATGTTGTGCTAGGCTGTAGGCACCTGGTGAAACTAGATTATTTCTCCCAAAAAGCTTGCAATTTAAGGAGCTTCCTTTTGGAAACCACAGCAGCTATCTCCATTACCTACAGAGGAGAGCGTTTCTAAATGCTACAGAAGCTTTCTGAAAATACCTGTCTGTGTTCTAATTCTGAAGCCATCTGAAAACTCCAGGTTAAGTAAATTACCTTCCTTCTACACATTATCTGGTTTCATGGTAACATTATTAGTAAGTAACTCTGCTTTTCATTTCCTGATGCAAAAGAATTATAGCAAATTTGAAAATAAGCTATTTTTGTAAGTAGGCTGGAGTTGTATTCTTTGAGTTTTCATTTACACTCTCAAATATGTTTTAAGCTGGGAAACTTAAATCAAGAACTTGTGCTATGATTACTGGCAGCTGTGGAAGTAGTATACGTATAAGAAATGATTACCTCCAGGAAAAGGTGCATCCAGGGGACAGCCTGCATAGGGGTTCCTGCTGCTATACATATGGTGCTAATGAAGTATAAGTAAATTCCTCTAAACAAATAAACAAACAAACAAAAACCACCTGTAGATAAGTATTTCTAGACTGGGCATCTAACAACACTGTAGAGTAGACATAGTCTAAGAAGACAATTGTAGCTCCATTTTTTCAAAAATGCAGACCTTGAATTTTGTCTTCCAAGTGCGTGGATTTACACTTAGGCTTTGATTCATCAAAATTTTTCTGCGAGATATTAGTTTCAATATTCAATTAAAATGTTTGGACATTGAAGCAAACGGGATTCCCATACAAGCTTAATGTACATTTATTTATTTATTTATTTATTTATTTATTTTCCCATAGAAATGGACTGCCCTAAGTGGTTTGATTTTTTTCAGACCAAAGAAAACTAGCAGGTTCTCACCGATATTTAATATATGACCACTTGTTTAACAATGGGCTTGATGGACTAACCTCAAGCCAGTTTTAAAAGGTTTGAGGTCCTTTAAAAGGTCCTTTGCTTGCTTAAATATTCAACAGGATTTTTGGGGGTACCTGTTTTCTGAGTAACTGTCCAGCAGTAATGTTGAAACATTTTACATTCAACGGATTCCTCTGAGGTTTTCTTACTTGGCTTGTATACAATGCTGAACAGCAATGAAAGGGTTAATGGTCTTGTTGTTTTTAGGCTTTCACTCTATACTGGGACTTGACATTTTCACACTAATTAAAACAGACTGCTTCAGTCCCTATGTACATGTAACTCATATTTAATTCAATGGAAACATTGAGTGTGCATTGATGGAAGAGTTGAGTCCATACTTTTACTGTTGTGACAATCAGGAAATGTCTTAAGCAGAGGTATATTTAATTTGCTCACAGTTCCAATAAGAATAGCCTTTAAAATATTTAAATCAAATATAGTATTCATATTGATGAGGCATCTCTTGAAGACTTTATTCAAGCAAAACTTCTCATAGGTTGAGATTTGAAAATATAGATAAACAGTCTCCAATACACTAATGTTATTGCAGAGGCTTTTGTTGCTGCTATGCATTGTGAATCAGACATCACCTGCCCAAGGTATAGGAATTTATGGTACTGAAATTTACAATTCTTCATGTATTTCATTTCACATTTCAGTACACATTTACAGGACTCTGATGCAGAAGTGTAGCACTTCCTCTTACAGAAAATATGAAGATTTCTGTTTCTCCATGGTGTCTCTGAGGTACTATTTATTGGCCTGCAAAATGAAAACCAGATGTTCTGGCTAAATCTAGGCTTAAGGGCAGGTTCACAACATAGTAGACATAGTTTGAAGGTTTTACTCTGTCAGTTGTCCCAATCAAAGATTTGTTATGAGTATATCTTGTTGCTTCCAGCACATCAAAGTATGTCTCTTATCCATCAGAAACAAGCCACAGGGAGAGGCCTTGTACCCAAATGTATCCTAATATGTTATTGAGGTGCAGCACTACAGTGTCTGATAGTTCAGAAATAGTGAATGATGGACTTGGGCTATCAAGCTCTGTGGAGCTGAATAGTATCCATATAGTTTCCTCAGGATCTACACCCTTACCTCCTCAGATGGTCCACTCTCTTGAGAAGATGCATAGCGCATACTGAGTGAAAGGAGAGGGCTATTAGGCAACCTTTGCCTGGTGGAATAACGCTTCAATTTAAATTGATTTTCAAGGTCTATTAGTGCCATTTTTTCCCTGATCAATGTAAGAAAATAAAAACTAAAGGGGAACAAAAGAACCCTCCACTGACTCCCATTTAAATATAAGATTGAGTAGCTAAATAATTTTAGGGTGTTACCTTTATTCCATTTTGAGACTTCTGTGAGCACTCATAAGTGTATACATTTTCTTCCTTAAAATCCCTTGAAATGTTGAACTATATCTCTTAATACAGTTTTTTATATTTTAGTGAAAAGGCAGCTGTAGATGTCATCATGACTATGGACTTTTATAGTGCCATAAAAATTCAGTGTCATCATAAATTCATGCTGCTGAAAATGCCGACATTTATGGCAACTTCTACAAGGACATATTTTAAAATGATATTAAAACTTTATGCAGCAACTTTTATTTAGTTAAAAAGTGAGATTATAAAGCAAAACATTTACTCTCATTTTAGAACAAAGAGGTGTGACAAATAGTTTATAAAAAGGGGAGAAAATATGAAGGTTTTATAAAGCAGATCTGTTAAACCCCCAGAAAAAAGGACATTTGCATAGTATTGATGCGAAACCAGTAATTGAAGCAAGTCATTAATAATATTCACGTCTATGTCTTTAACATATATTGTTTATCATTTGGTCTTTTATCACTGACACATCTCTATTACAACGCTGCTTTCAGGGCTCAGCATCTCTGTATTGACATTGAAATATCTTTATTTCTGCTTGACTTTTAGGTACTGTAGTCAGTGGACTTGATGAATACTGTAAAAATTAAGAAATAATGAAAATATGATTATTGTATCTACTAAAGTTTTAGCTGCAATGTTGCAGTCCTTTGGGAATCTTACTAAAAGGAACTGCATGGACCAGAAAATAGCATGACCCTGCACATCAGTGCTTCCAACATAGGGACTGTTGCTTGTGAAGCACCCAATCCAAATCTCTTACACACAGTTAAACCATTGACTTCAGACAGCTGTGCACTAAGTATAGCATATATTTCACATAAACTAGTCAAAAGGAAACATGACAGAAGTGGGGGAAAGTAAAATGCCACTTTTTTTTTTTTTCTACTTGCAGATATTCAAGATGTATCAACTAACTTCTGAGTTTCCATCAACATTCATTGAAGCAGCTTCAGAGACTGATATACCTCAGAGAGAAAAATATATTAAGTATTCTCTCAAAACAATGACATTTATGTTTCAGCAGAGCATTAGGGACTCAGTTTAGGGACCAAGCCCATTCCTACTGAAGTCAGTGAGATAGCCCTATTAATTTCCTTGCAGAAATACCAGGCTCTAACACTGAACAGAGCTGAATCAAAGACGTTACCTTTCATAGTAACACACAAGGAAGATGTGGAATGAATGTTCTGTTCCTTATGCTCAGATTTGCCTAATTTTTATATATAAGTCTATATAAGTCTTCTCTAAGTTTAAGGGTATTTTTAATTCTCTCTGTCTCTCTCTCTCTTTTTTTTTTTTAACCATACACAGTTATCCAACTTGTCTGATTCTGATTTCAGATTGATTAAAAAGACAAAACTAGAATCTGTCTGAAAGAGCAGTTATACAGTTGTAGTAAGTGAATATAAAAGAGATGATATGTAAGTACTAAAAGTTATTCTGTCTCACAGGGTTATCCATAATGCTGTATTGCCAATTATTTCAAAGGCTGTTGATATAGATAGGTATCAAATACTGCTTTAGCCCGTTTTATATAGGGTACCAAATAGCCTTCATAAAATGAGTTAAGATAGTGACACATACAGGCTGAATTTGAATCTCAAGCTTCTGGACAAAAACAAACAAACAAAAAATGCACAAACCTCAACCTCCCTCTTCTGCTCTGTTTCATCTGTTTTGTCTCTTATATTATTGCTAGACGTTATCCTTTATAAACATGTCTGAGGCTACCAGGCAATAACATTATTTTTTTTTTGACAACACCTTGTCAAATACTTTTTATTGAGAGTCTTGTCAGGTTAACATCACTTCTACAAGCCTATGGTGTTGATATAAGAAGTCTCTTCAAGTCTCAATTTTCATATGCTGTGCTCAGAATCACTAATTCTTATGACTCAGAGAAAGAGCTACAGATGCATATGACCACTAAATAGTTCCACTAGCTCTAAGACCATAATATTTCAAAGGGAGAACCTGAAAAAACGCTGGATATGGTGGAACAGTACTCAATTGGTTTAATATCTTCAGATATTTTTAAGGCACTTGGAGAAGTAAAATACAATGAAGAGGATTTTCTTTCCTTACAGTTGTCATAATTTGTGATTTTTTAAGTGAAGGAACAAAAAGACATATATGCTTGATACAGAAGAAATATCTGTTTGCAGCTAATATATTATAGAAAAATTCAAAGACAGCTTAACCTTGTAAAAATGTTACCTCTGTAATGTTGCCAAGATCAGTGTGAATTATTACTTTGACTTGCACACGATTTTTTTTTTTTTCAGAATTTGTCTAACTGATGCATTCATTAATTGGCAATTTTCATATGCTGGTGATTTCATAAATTGATGATTCATTTCCCTGTTCATTCAAACTCCCACCTTTTAAAAAGCTCATGCATCTTTCTGCCCTCAGATTCATAATATTCAGCTCAGGCATTGCCTGGTGAATATTCCAGATTCAATGCATTCTGAAGTAGAATTTATTGGAAAACAATAGCAATTCTTTTCTGTTCAATATATATTATCAAGAATAGGGCTATAGTCATGGCCCTTTGCTAAGATTGTCACACTCTTGCATGGTACAGGAGGAAAGTATTTGCAGAAACAGACATTGGCTCCCCATATATTAGTCGTTCCTCTGCAAGAGTGGATGTTAAATTTCTAGAATAATTAATTATGATAAAAGCTTTTCTTTTCATACCTTAGATTTTCATACCTTAGTAAGAGATTTTCATACCTTAGTAAGAGGTTGTTTAAGTCATGAGTATGTTTAATCTTCTACCTGATACTCTTTTATTAGTGTGATCTACTGATTCTAGATATCCTGGTTACCTTGACTGACCATTGTTCCATGTGAATATTTGGCACCATGTGGCAGTAGCTTTCTACAAAATGTTTTGCCATACATAACATTTTCTACCTGCATATTTTCTGCATTTGGAAAATGTTTTTCAACTGGGCAAAAGTACCACTATTGCAGAAAGAGAAAAGCTTCTCAGCTGTACAGTCAGATGCATAAGACATCACTCCCATTTTTTCAAAAGCTTCTCTCCTAGTTACTAGAAAAGCAAAGATATAGAAGTGTGTTAACCAATAACAGTTATTCAGCCTAAACTCTATGGATAACTTACTATGGGCACTGAGATAAGATATTCTATTTGCATACATACAGTATATGGAGAACTGCTCTTCTGTTTTATGGAGCAGCAATCATATTTAGTTTAATGTCTTATAAGTCCCATAAAATTGCATTAAGAAATTTTGCTATTTAGCTGGTGAACAATCCAAGCAGCAGTGTTAACTCATCATAACACTACTGCTTTGAATTCTCAAGCCTCATAAAATTTAGGTTATAAATATGCCAGTTCAGCCAAATGAGATCAGAGATCCTGCATGGATCCTTTAGTAGGATGGCATGCAAAAATCAACTGTGTTCCCAAAGCTTTTAAGAATTTATACCATTTGTACAAGGGAGCTTTAATCTCAGAAAAATCACAGTTTTGGTCTTTGGCTTCTAAATATAGCCAGTCATATAGAAAAATATTCATGTACCTAAACACATTGCTTTTTGTAACAATCCAACTTAGTGGATATTGGACATCATCACAGGGCTGTGGAAGTGACAGGAGACCTTCAAGAGTCCTGTACTTTTATGAAATGGCAGATAGATACCAGGAAGCATCCTCAGGTCATCTAATCTGATATTAGATGATTTCTGCAGTGGAGGAGCTGAAACACAAGGGAATGATAAACATTAAGTTGGAATAGAAGATTAATCTATTTATATATATATATATATATGTATATATGTATATATATATATATGTATATAGTGGGGATGATTGACATTTGATGTTCCCTTTAATTTTTGCTTGAAGATATAAGGCTAATCTGACATAAATCTGAATAGCAGCTGATGATGCTAATCATGAGCTCTGCCAACCTGAAATAATAGCAACTTCAGTTTAGGATTCTTTTATATATTCATTGTTCATCTCTATTTTGATTTGTGTCCTTCTTTTGATGCATTAGCAACTTCCAGGTGGTAGCAGGAGGGGTTACAAATGTTAGATAACAAGAACACAGATTTTGCTCCTGGCTAGACTGATAACCCATATATTTTGCAATGAGAAACAAGCTTGCTAAGCCTGAATGCACCGGTTTTTCTGTTCTGTACCAAAATTCCGGCTGGGCTGTACTTTCTAGTCAAACTCCTCCCATCCTCTTTATGTTGGATGTTAATTTCATATGGGTCTGCTCTGTTTCTTCTGCAGTTTCACACAACATGAGTAGAGATGCTATCCAAGAAACCATCCACCCATGGTGAAAATTTGCCAGAAGCTGATACTAACCTTCTGGTAAATCTGTGATCTGCTGCAAGTACAACTTCTCACTTGGGGACACATACTTAGCTCACCCATAACATCTCCTTTATGTTTAATGGACAAGAAAGAAAAGCAGGAAAGTCAGCTGGGTATGCTATGTATCACTTTGTGGTCTATAGACTGAATTCTTTAACGATATTCTCATTAAAAGTTCCTGCTGCCAAATACTGTTTGCTTTTGCCTTTGGAACTGTCTGCATTAATAATGAGAGACTCTTCTTGGAAGTTATTTACATAAAGTTTAATTTTCATGTTAGTGCCACAGATAGCAGCTCCATGTTGGCTGTGAGCAGAGCGAACACCATTTGAATGAATTCACTGCAATGTGAATTGTGAGGGGCCATAGACTATCTTACCTCTCACCATAAAAAAATATATATGAATATATAAAATTATATAAAGATGTATTAAAATAAAATAAAATAAAATAAAATATTTTTATATTTTATTATATTTATATTTTATTTTTAAAAAATATTTTTTATTTTTTAACAGTCTAACCCTGTCAATAAGAAGAATGCTGTCCATTAAGAATACTTTTTTTTTTTTTTTTTTTTTTTTTTTTTTTTTTAAAGAAAATGCTTTCTTGTCTCTTTGAAGTGTGGTCCTAAGATGACTTGCCTCATACTAGCTCGTTTATCTGGCTTGCTATTGGACACAGTCTGCTCATCTACAGAATAAATGAAAAGGTCCTGTAAGATCATGTCAAGTTGGTCTTTTCCTGGTTCCACTCATCTTAAGGGTGATGATGCTGTGTAATGGTAAATGTTCAGATGTTTCCCAACAAGCATTTGTATATATACACATGTTTAACTAAAAGAGTATTTTAGTGGCCAACAATTTGCAGCTTAGAAATGCCTGAGTCACAGATTGTGTCTTTCTGTCTGATGGGCCTTGATTTTGCTCACATGATGTTGCACCTAGGTTTTGTTCCCTAAAATTGTTTTAAAGTATTTAAGATCATAACAATATTTTGCATTGAAATTTTATTTCATCTTCAAAACAAATTTTCTTTTAGTGGTGGGTTACAAAAAAAAAATCATCTGGTTTCTGTAACCATCACTTATTTATTTTAGCAACAAATCACATTACTTTTACTGTTAAAACTAGATATATGCAGAGTGATTTATAATTTAAAAAAAAAATAACTAAAAGTTCATGATTTTCCTTTTTAATGGAGTATTAGGTGGCTGCATAACTATTCAGGTGTCTTTACTACTTCTTTTCATTAGAAGAAGCAAAAGAAAGGTTATTTTCACATTTTTTCCACCCCAGATGAAAGAAACAAAAATCTAATTTCAAAAGTGCAACATTTTGTGCCATCACCCTCTTTTACCCAGACAGCTGAACTAAGTTAGCCCCAGTTTTATAGTATTTAGAAGTCCAGATAAGGTTTAAGCATCTATGCTTCCAGTAATTACTCAAACAGTCTCTCAACCTTTTGTGGTTCACTAGTTAATATCACATTAAAAGCTGACAAATAATGTTGCATTTTATTGCAACTTGCACAAGCTGGGTAACCTGCCCATTAATTATCTGCTGCTTCTCAATTGTTATCATTCTCTTCCTACAACAATAAAATGACTAAGGATTGTACACAGCTAAAATTAGTTTTTTATTAGTAGACAACTGAGTCCTTTCCATACTTTGTAATATTCAAACTGAAGGAAAAAACAGAAAAAAAAATAATTATGTACTTTGAAAAATGCATTTGATTCATGGAAAAAATACTTTTTATAAGGCAGTGAATTTATTTGAAGTGGTTAAATTTTGTTTCTTAAAAAAAAAAATAATAATAATAATCCTACATCTTACCTTTTATGGGATTTTCTTTTTCTTTTTTTTTTTTTTTAAATTTAATTTAATTTTTTTTTAATTTCATTAGAAATGATCTAATATGTTTGCAGAAGATATAAATGTGACCTTCCCCCCAACACACACCTTTTCCAAAAGCATAAACTTCTTTGGCTGCCTACTGCTTGCAATACTGGATATTGCTTTTCCCTGGAAAAGAAAAAAATATTTTCACTGAAGTTACCCAAAGTGTTTCCAGTGCTAATCAGCTCTATGTTCACTCAAAAGAGGATGGTGTGATTTTGTGCTTCAGTAATGACACTGCAGAAGGAAGGTGGAAACCCAAACTACACGTATGCTGTATGAAATGTGTCATCTTCAAAGTAAGTGTTTGTCCCATTTTATGGAAGACAAAGACACTTGAGATGAAAGATCTAATTCTCTGTTGCTGTGTAGAGTTGCTGGCACAAGCACAAAGCAGTTGCAACATTATATTAAATGTGAATGGTGTCATTTACACTTGTTTTGCATTTCTGGGGAAGGGTAAACTAAAGATTAACCTAGGCTTTTTGTAAGTCACAAATGTAATTCTTATCTTTGTAGGTGGAAGATAGTTGTATCTTATTTTTAGTAGATAATTTTACAGATACATGGTCATGCACACAAATTGATAGTCAGTTTTTAAGTTGCATTTCTAAAAAAAAAAAAAAAGAAAAAAAAAAAGAAGAAAAATATCTTTGATTCCGTATATCATTATGTCAACCTGAGGCTGATCTCTCATAGCTGGGAGTGGTGATGAACATTACATTAAATCTTGAGGAGCCATGGCCTTGAGGAGGCCTCTCCACCTGCCGAGCTGTGCACAGGACATAGGAAAGCAAAGGTGGCTTTCTGTATCCCCTAATATTCAAAGGATCCCAGTAGTACATAGTACCAGCAGTGCAAGCCACTTCCCAGATCCCTTAATATAGGCCACAGTAACAGTGCTTCCTGGGGGCCCAGGTTGTGCTGGGGGTGCTGGCTGGCTGGGACACCTCTGTGCTTGGTAAGGGGTGGATTACTATCCAGGAGCTCCCCACAGGGTTGATGCTAGCTCCATATTTGGCACAGAAAACAGTGTGACAAGACCAACAGACACGACAGAGTCAGGATTCCTATGTCTGGCTCTTCAGCCTCATGGTTCTCATGGGCCCCAGTCTCCCTGTCTCTGGGAGTCTTTATAATCCTTGTCCTGGTGGTTGGAGGCTGAGTTCATTCTTGCTTATAGATGGTCTGAGGGAAGACAGCCCCTAAGTACCTGTATTGTTGCAAGAGATCTGGTTGTAAGATCTTCTCAACATGACCAAACATCATAAGACTCTCTCTGGGAATTATTTCTTGTTATTGTTGGCATTTATTGCCTGATAGTTTTAGTATTTTACTATCTTGCTGTTTACAAATAGATCAAAAGGCAGTGCAAATCATTAGAAGTAGCAGTGCAAAATTACTCTTTTTGGCAAAATCCCACCTGCTGTCATTTTCTGTAGTTAAGACTTTTGCCTGAAGCCTTGAATGTCTCACCCTGACACCAGCCTGCAGTAATTAATCATTAAACAGTGATTGAGGCAGTGGACCCCAGAAAATATCTTCATATTCTACCATATGCTGAAGCCAGCTGCAGCAAGTACTCCGAGAGGAACTGCACAGAGGATAACACTCTGCCTGACAGTCCCCTGCTGTGAAGTCCAAGCACAGAAATCCTCTAACTAAGGGCTGTAGACAGACTGTTTGCTTGTATTGACCTTCATTACCTGAGATTGTTTAGAAGGCGAAATGTCAGTGTTAATGTGCAAGAATTTTAAATATTATCACATTTTAATGACTATTTCCAGCCTCTCACATACTTACAATATGGAACAAAAATGTGGATTAGTGTAATGAAAGGTTATAACAACAATAACAACAACAATAATGAGGGATGGGCAGATGTGTTTTGCTTAATTTCAAACTCCCCTGGAGCATTGCGGGCTTGGAATTAAGACTGGTTTCCACCCACCCGAGGTTCATGCGTTATTTGGGGCTGGCCCAATGCCACGTCTGGGCAGTCACAGGCCTCAGCAGTAGTCAAGAGCTGGGCCTGCGCCTTCCTTCACCACTGATCCCTGTAGAAACACTCATCCCAGTATTGGGGTTATCTTCTGTATTATGGAGTTACCAGAACCAGGGACAGCTTGCAGGCTGCAGACAAATATCCTAGTTTCAGTAGTCCCACTGAGACCCTGGTGGCTTCCTAAAAGTCACAGACATCCTAGATGTGCCCCACATGCCTTCCACATGTCTTCATCATCTGGTCTGCATTGCACAGGTATCCAGCAGTCTGTTTTAGAGACACTTGCTAAGTTTCCTTCTTAAAATACAGGCTTGTACATTCTGCTCTTAGTGGACACTCAATGCTTGCTATTTGTATTTCTGGTATTTCTGTAGACATGTAGGCATGGCTTGAAGGCTGAGAGAAAATCTTAGTGTTTCTTTCACAAACGTGCTTCACCATCTGCTTGATCACACCTTCCTTTGTCAGTGTGCTGGAAACTCTTACCTTTCTCTGTCATTCCCATAACTGACATTTTTGAATGCTTGCGTTTATTTGTGCAAATGTAATTCTCCATCTTAAGTCTTCCTTAAAAACAGATGGGAACTTTTACAGAGTTGTTTGTTTTACAGAGTCCTCTCAGATCTCATTTTTCCATTAGAAATCCAGCAGGATTTTCCCTTGTATCAACTCTTCCCCATTCTGTTTTTGCTTTGCAAAAGAAGTTAATATTTATATCTGCATGGCATAAAAGATTTTTATTTTTTTTCCTAATGGACCTTTATGTAAAAAAAGTAACAATGAGATTTAACACTAAGGGAAAAACATTTCCACAAAACTACTAGCAGTACTGTGAATTTCTTTTTGCCCTGTGATGTTACAGTATTCAAAAATGATGATGTTGCAGTATTCAAAAAGGCAAATGGCTTCAAAATCAGGGAAACTGATGGAAGTTTGATCAAAACTATTACAGAGTCACGAGGAAATAACCTCTGGCTTAAAACTGTAGTTGAACTGCGTTTTTTGGTAGTCAGGGAGGGTGCTTCAGGGAAAGCATTGCTCTACACCTGTCCCACTCACCTGTACTCTTTCTTCAAACATTAGCTACAGGCCTCTTTCATAGAAAAGAGCTCAAGATAACAAAATCTTTGCTCTGGCTCATTCTTATGTTCTTAACACATGCTGTAATGCGTGACTGTTCAAGACCATAGTGCATTGCAGAGTATGGAAGCAGTATCAAAGTACTGAACAGTCCTATGTCTGCTAATCCTATATTTTATGTTATATATCAGTCCCCCGATACCTACATTCAGGAAAATCTACTGGACCATGTACATTTGGCATAACAAGCTATGAAAGCTCTATTATTATTTTGAAGTGTGTAGATTTATTTTGAATGTTTTCAATAAATTTATCTGTTAAAACTTAAGGGAGTGGTGTTTCAGCCTTCTTCAGGGGAGGTGCCCCACTAGACCTTCTGTTCACAGAGAAGGACTGGTGGGAGATATGGTGGTTGGA